TGCTAACTACTCTGACGCTGAAAATATTCTTTCTAATGTTTCTATGGCTCATTTGGGTACTAAGTTTCCACCTGTGTCCCCTTGTGCGACTACCACCTGTATTAAATAATCTGTCCTTATCTTCCCTATCAATTCCTCTCAAAATCTTGTATGCGGTGATCATGTCTCTCCTAACTCTTCTGTCTTCCAGCGACGTGAGGTTCAGTTCCCGTAGTCTCTCCTGGAGGGGCGGAGGGGGTACTAACCTATTTGTGCCTGCAGGTTCGAGCATTGACTCTTGGATCCCGCCTTTCTAGCCATCGGTTGTTAACAGCAATAACTCCGGTCCTATTTCCCAATCATATCTAGTCTTAAAATTATGAATAGAGTTTGCTTCCACAACCTGCTCCTTAAGTGCATTCTATTTTCCCCTACTCTCACGCTAAAAGAAAAGTTCTTAACATCTCTGTGACTCATCTGAGTTTCCAGCTTCCACCCATGTCCCCTCCTTCTGTTAGTATTGAGTGTGAATCATTTTTCTATTTCCATTCTGTCTAAGTATTTTATACGTTCCTATCATATCCCTCCTCTCCCTTCTTTTTTCTAGTGTCGTAAGGTTCAGTTCCTTTAGGCGCTCTTCGTATCCCATCCCTCGTAACTCTGGAACGAGCCTCGTCGCAAACTTCTGAAACTTTTAAAGTTTCCTCATTCCTTGTGGGTTTCTTCAGGTGGGGACTCCATGATGAGGCGGCATACTCTAAGACTGGTCTCACGTAGGCAGTGTAAAGCGCGCTAAATGCCTCCTCATTTAGGTTTCTGAATGATGTTCTAACTTTTGCCAGTGTAGAGTACGCTGCTGTCGATATCCTATCTGAATGTGCCTCAGGAGTTAGCTGTGTGTGTGTGTGTGTGTGTGTGTGTGTGTGTGTGTGTGTGTGTGTGTGTGTGTGTGTGTGTGTGTGGGTGGTGTTGCGGAAGCACTGTTATGTTTACCAGATTTTGATGCCGTTGCCATGACAACATTCGAGATATGGCCCTGATGCCGAATCGACGGAGGAGGAGGAGGAGGAGTTATTCTGTCCTTTATAAAGCTCCGTTTCCACGTAAAGCGTAAGTGGCCCCCCCCTCCCCCCCCCCTCTCTCTCTCTCTCTCTCTCTCTCTCTCTCTCTCTCTCTCTCTCTCTCTCTCTCTCTCTCTCTCTCTCTCTCTCTCTCTCTCTCTCTCTCTCTCTCTCTCTCAGCTTCTATTTCTAGCTGTGGTATTTTTGATTGAATTTATAAAAGATAGTTTCTCCGTGTGTGTGTGTCTGAGGCTGGAGGCTATAGACACCCTGGGCCAGCCTCGCCCAAATTTCCAAGATGAATCATGGGGGGTATGGGAGTGTCATAGGTCAGTTTTGGATGGTCCCAGTGCCACAGGTTGAGAAATATTGGCATCTACAACCCCTTGCCTCCCCCCCCCCCACCTCCCTCCCCCGCCTGCAGTTTTCATTAAGTCTGAAAACGACGTTGGGCTTTCCGTAGAGTTTTTATCAGTTTCGGTGCTTCGTATTACATTTTCTGAGAGAGGGAGGGAGAGGGGGGGGATATGAGGGAACAATGAGGGATGGAGGGAGAGGGGGGGGATATGAGGGAACAATGAGGGATGTTGCAAGAGAGGAAGATTGAATGTGAGGGCGGAGACAGGACATGAGGAAGGGAGAAGGAACCAGGAGACAGGGAGGAAGATAAAGAGAGGGGGGGGAGAGGGGAGAAAAGTAGAGAGCAAGATAGGGGAGGAGAGGAGAGAGCTGGGACGTTGGTAGAGAGGGGAATGTTGGGAAAGAGAGGGGGAACGGGAGAGGCAGAGGAAGAGGGGAAAGAGTGGAAGATAGGAGAAGGATAGTGGAAGAGCGATGAGAGAGGGCGGGCGGGAAGAGAGGGGGGGGGGGGGGGTAGCGAGAGACCCGGGCACAGCCGGATATCCCATCCATTAATTTATAGAGGAATCATATCTATTGGTAGGAAGAGCATCTCTCATCCAGCAAGCCCCATTACCTCTCTTCTCCATCCATTAGCTAATCAACGGTTAGTCAAACGTTGCCAGGAATACCAGGAATAGATTGTGAGGAAACACTACACAAGACGAGTGCTGGACATGACGGTGTAGCAGACCTGCAGCACAGACTACCACAACAGGTCAGCAGACACAGTAGGGAGTCCCCCAGAGTGCTGGACATGACGGTGAAGCAGACCTGCAGCACAGACTACCACAACAGGTCAGCAGACACAGCAGGGAGTCCCCCAGAGTGCTGGACATGACGGTGAAGCAGACCTGCAGCACAGACTACCACAACAGGTCAGCAGACACAGCAGAGAGCTGGGAATTATGAAAGAATCCCCGCCACAAAGAGATGGCCTGTTGACAACCATTTTAATTCCTATTGAAATGAGATCTATGCAACAGGAGCTGCCAGTGATCGTGGTCCGCGCCAGACCCTACATATCTTGATGGAAAATGGTGAGGGTCTATAACTTAATATAACTGCATTGTATAATTACTTTGTTATCATTCAGAACGTGTTCATCTTGTTGATTTATTTGTTGAGTTAAATGATTTGATATCTTCTGTCTCCTGAGATGTATCGCATAATGTTAGTAATTTGTAAATAGGTATTTATCTATGGACTGCATTTACCCTTTGTTAATTGTATGGTTATGTTGTTTTCCTTTATCTCTCTCTCAATAAAGTTATTACAACGGACTAAAAAAAAAAAAAAACTGTTAATAACTCTACGGAAAATATATCCCCGGTTTCAGTTTACATGACAATAGCAGGGGGCGCTATAGCTGCAGATATTTCTTAAAGAATGCCAGTTGGGCCGGCCCCGAGTATCTTAGGCACTCGCATACTCCATGTATCATCTTGGAGAGTTGGATGAGGCTACCCACAGATGTCTGGCCTCCATCTTCGGACACACAAACACACATTCAATTGAATATATATATATATATATATATATATATATATATATATATATATATATATATATATATATATATATATATATATATATATGTGAACAAGCTTAAATGGTCTCCAAGCATATTTGTGAATGAAAACTCCACACCCCAGAAGTGACTCGAACCCGGACCGCCAGGAGCACATTGCAACTGGTGTACATGGTGCCTTAAACCACTCGACCATCAGTGACCGTACAAAAAGTGGTTTGTCCTTGCTGACACAGAGATTAATACTGAGCCACAGTGGAGGTACATATTTAGACACAAGTCAGTGTAGAAGGTCCTGTAAGTGTTAATTACATTAGCGGTTGTTCAGTTTCCTCCCAGCAAGTATATGAAAAAATGACGGAATTATTTTTTTTTTTTAAGAATGGACTTTAAGTAAAAAATTTACAATTTCCTGCAGGAAGTGCCGGACCAACCGGGCTGTAGTGTGGCATGTTGGCCTGCGGGCCGCTCCAAGCAACAGCCTGTTGGACCAAGTTCTCACAAGTCAGGACCGGGCTCGTGAATTAGAACAACTAGAAACCCTCTACAGGTACAATCCTGGTACAAAAAATAATGGCTACATGTCATTTTGTGCATAAGACTGTTCGCTAGCTCACGTGTTGTAATGATATGATTTATTTATAATAAATTATTGTACCAGGATTATACTGGTAGGGGATTTTAGGTGTTCTATTTACCAAGGCCGGGCTTGGGATACGTGGCCTAACCCAACCTAGCCTATCCTATCCTAACCCAACCCAACCCAACCCAACCCAACCCAACCCAACCCAACCCAACATACCATTCAGTAATATAACATAACATACCTAAACATAACCTATTCAAGGGTAGACTATATAAAGTTGTAACAATTAGAAAACGAGGAATATAAGGAGTGCGCATATGACCGAAGCTGTGCACTATGGGTACAAAAGTACCCATAGTACCCATAGTACCCATAGTGCCCATAGTACCCATAGTGCCCATAGTGCCCATAGTACCCATAGTGCCCATAGTGCCCATAGTGCCCATAGTGCCCATAGTACCCATAGTGCCCATAGTACCCATAGTGTCCATAGTGCCCATAGTGCACATAGTACCCATAGTGTCCATTGTGCCCATAGTGCCCATAGTACCCATAGTGTCCATAGTGCCCATAGTGCCCATAGTACCCATAGTGTCCATAGTGCCCATAGTGCCCATAGTGCCCATAGTGCCCATAGTACCCATAGTACCCATAGTACCCACAGTGCCCATAGTACCCATAGTACCCACAGTGCCCATAGTACCCATAGTGCCCATAGTGCCTATAGTGCCCATAGTACCCATAGTGCCTATAGTGCCCATAGTACCCATAGTGCCCATAGTGCCCATAGTACCCATAGTGTCCATAGTGCCCATAGTGCCCATAGTACCCATAGTGTCCATAGTGCCCATAGTGCCCATAGTACCCATAGTGTCCATAGTGCCCATAGTGCCCATAGTACCCACAGTGCCCATAGTACCCATAGTGCCCATAGTGCCTATAGTGCCCATAGTACCCATAGTGCCTATAGTGCCCATAGTGCCTATAGTGCCCATAGTACCCATAGTGCCTAAAGTGCCCATAGTACCCATAGTGCCTATAGTGCCCATAGTACCCATAGTGCCCATAGTACCCATAGTGCCCATAGTACCCATAGTACCCATAGTGCCTATAGTGCCCATAGTACCCATAGTGCCTATAGTGCCCATTGTACCCATAGTGCCCATAGTACCCATAGTGCCTATAGTGCCCATAGTACCCATAGTGCCTATAGTGCCCATAGTACCCATAGTGCCTATAGTGCCCAGTGCCCATAGTACCCATAGTACCCATAGTGCCCATAGTGCCCATAGTACCCATAGTGCCCATAGTGCCCATAGTACCCATAGTGCCCATAGTACCCATAGTGCCCATAGTGCCCATAGTACCCATAGTGCCCATAGTGCCCATAGTACCCATAGTGCCCATAGTGCCCATAGTACCAATGTTGTTGTTGTTGCAGGTTCTGGGGGTGTGATGACGACTGCCAGCGGCGGCTACGTCACAGATATGCCAGCAGCAGCGGCGGCAGCGGCGGCGGCGGCAGCGGCAGCGGCGGCGGGGACGGCGACGGGAAGCGGCGGCAGCGGCGGCGGCGGCGGGAACAGCCACACCTCACCGTCCCCCTCGTCGTCGTCGCCGTCATCGTCGGAGGGCGGCGTGACGACGACGACGACCACCACCACCACCACAACCACCACCACCAGCAGCAGCAGACACGCCTCCGTCAGCACCTCGTCACAGCCCTCACCCATCACCTCGGCCACATCAATCACCGTCACCAACTCCTCGCCTCTCCTCACTATCGCCCCCGCGGTCCACGCCAGCCCCACCCGGGTCAGTTGTGTGTGACGCAGTGTTGTGGTGTGACGCAATGTTGTGTGGTGAACCGTCTGTGTGTGACGCAATGTTGTGGTGCTGTGTGTGTGACGCAATGTTGTGGTGAGTCGTGTATGTGTGATGCAATATTATGATGAGCCGTGTGTGTGTGTGACGCAATGTTGTGGTGAGTCGTGTATGTGTGATGCAATATTATGATGAGCCGTGTGTGTGTGTGACGCAATGTTGTGGTGAGTCGTGTATGTGTGATGCAATATTATGATGAGCCGTGTGTGTGTGTGACGCAATGTTGTGGTGCTGTGTGTGTGACGTAATGTTGTGATGTGGTGACGTGTGTGTGTGTGTGTGTGTGTGTGACGCAATGTTGTGATGTGGTGCCGTGTGTGTGTGACGCAATGTTGTGGTGCTGTGTGTGTGACGCAATGTTGTGGTGCTGTGTGTGTGTGTGACGCAATGTTGTGGTGCTGTGTGTGTGTGTGACGCAATGTTGTGATGTGGTGACGTGTATGTGTGTGACGCAATGTTGTGATGTGGTGACGTGTGTGTGTGTGTGACGCAATGTTGTGGTGCTGTGTGCGTGTGACGCAATGTTGTGATGTGGTGACGTGTGCCGTGTGTGTGCGTGACGCAACATTGTGATCCAACAGTGTTGTGGTGTGTTACAGGCGGACAGCGCGTCACCCAGCGGTAGTGTAGGGGACGGCGGCGGCGGCGGCCTAGGCTCCACCTCCACCACCACCCACCTCACTGCTCAG